GGGCTGCACCTAGGGATTGGGCCTGCCCTCTGCCACCTGGGAGCAGGCCTAAGCCAGCAGGTCGTTATCTCCCAAGGGGTCCCAGACTGCGAGAGGGCACAGGCCAGGCTGAGGGACCCTCTCTTCCCCCCGAGTGCACAAATTTTTGTGCACCGGGCCTCTAGTCAATTATAATTGAAAAATAAAAAGAATTTATTAAAAAAAGCAAGCAAGCTGGAAACTGTTCTGCTCAGGTTGGCAACTCAGAGCTGTGTAACGTGCTGACTGCCATTGGGAAACAATTCTCTGTGGGGCTCCTGTGTTTCTTCATGTCTGTGAGCAGAGGCACTGCCTTTGTTTCACATCAGGGGTTGGCAAACTATGGCCCACAGGCCCAGTCCAGCCTATGACCCGATTTTGTGCGGCTCAAACGTTAAGATTATTTTTTTACATTTTTAAAGGGTTGTAAACTTACAACAAAGGCAAGGACAATGTAGAATATGCAGAAGATTTGTAAGTGGCTGGTAAAACCTAAAATATTTACTTTTACTGATAATTTTGTCTCTCTTCCAGATTATCCTTTTAAAGATGTTTGTTTAGGAAACAGCCTTAGAAACTATAGAGTGTCTTCTTCCAGAGTAAAGGGCAGGCATTCTTACTTAAAGATTACATCTTAAAACACTTGGGTTCCCTAAGCTCAGGTTTCTTTTCCTGTGTGTGTATAAGTGTTACCTGGCTCTTTTTGTGCTGCCCTGTAGGCACTGAGCCTCAGGAAGTCAGTGCAAAAATGATAGTCTGGCTCCCCCCATCACTGTGAGCAATAGCTGTGTTTGTCGCTGACACAGGAGTCTCCTGTCTTCTCTCAGCATCCATGAGACTGTGGCAGGCTAACTAGTTGGCTTGCATCCAGGGTAAATGCTCAGACCATTTATAAAAACTTGTCAACTATGTAAAGATTAACCTTGATTTCAATAAGAAATTCCACATTAGATGTTCATGAGTAATTAAAATATAACTATACTGTAGATTATATACTCTATTAGAAAACTGCAAGGAAAATATATAAAAAAGATAAAAAGTATATTAAGAATACATCTAGATCTTTAAAGGTTACCTTGTATGATAAAGTTTTCTTAAATTGTTCACTGAAATATAAAAGAAAAAGAAATTAGTCATAATTTAAAATGCCAAATATTAAGAATAGAAATAATCTTGAAGGAACTAAAATTTTATTTAAATTATAATTAAAAATATATTTTATCCGAAGAGTATGTAATGCTATCCTGAACTAAAAACTATGTCAGTTTGAAGTGACTTTATATAAAGGCAAAACATACCATCAATTTGTTATTAATTACAAACAAGTTATTCCAAAGATTGTTTATACTATTAGAGAAGCACAGTCATTTTTTTCTCTTCCCCACATGAGTGCCCACAGATTTAATCTGTTTGCAAATGAAAGTTTTATTGCTAGTCAGGAGCAGAGGGTCCAACAGATCAGGAGCGGGCTGCCATTAAAAAGACAGTTTATTCCTCACAGTTCCCAAGAGGAGGGATGACATGTCACGACACAGGGCCACAGGGGAAGCACCAGGGGTCAGGAGGAAGAGGGAATGAGCCTTTATTGCAGATTCCCTGGGAAGGCATGGCATGGCAGGGTGCACAAGCTTAGGAATGGCTGGTGTGAATAATGTGAGCAATCTCTGGGGCATAGGGGCTTTCCCTAGTTGTCTGCTACCTGGCCTTGGAGTGATTAGGGCAGGGGCATAGTGACCTTGGAGTGGTTCTCCCATGACAAAGGGGGCAAATATCAGTATATCTAGAGAGATGTGATTGGCAGCTTGAAGTTGAGACTTTAAAATCAGTTAAGTGAGAGTGCAAGCTGAGCAACTCAAATTAGCATTCTTAAGAATCTTTCTATTGCTAGCCTTAAATTTCTTGATGTGTTATAAAATATGCATTTTATCTAATTAGATTTAGAATAACATGAAATTTCAGCTATTGAACAAGCTGCAAATTATAGTCTATTTCTGGCTTGTCCAGAGTTCCTTTATTTTTTTCTCAACTAGTTGCAAGTTGTAGTAAAGAACAAAACAATGGAAGACAAAAATAAGAAGACTATTGTTTTTACTTTTAACTCTAAATTATGTAGATAAGAAGCTTTTAAGTATAAATACTAATAAAATTAAATTATAAAACTTCTTAAAAGTAATGATGCAAATGATCAAGAAATCATTTTTGACACATTATAGGATAAACTTCCAAAACTAACATATTGAATCTGTTCTATAGTTAACATGATTGGATGATTCTCAATAACTATGGCTCAGAGAGTGAGATGCCATACACACCAAAGGCTGAGTTAAAGTGATGCGAGTTAGAATGTCACCCCGACTATGTGGGATAAGAGGCACTGCAAAAATGGCTGTCGAACTTGCAGACTAATCATCACCACCCATGGGCTAGTACTACTGTAACTAGCAACAGCTTATATTAATTAAGTGTAAATTCTATGGTGGCTTCTAAGGGCTTTACATATATATCATTTAATTCCCACAAAAACCATGAGGTCATTTACTATTACAACCTCCATTTTGTAGATGAGAAAATGTAGGCAAAAAGAGTTTAAGTAAGTTGCTTGAGGTGAAACAACTTATAAAAGAATGAGGAGCCAATAGTTGCACCAGGAGAAATACTTCCAGGCCCTAAGCACTTAACCACCACACCTCCTGCCTCTCATAGGGAATGAGTTCCATTCAGAAGTACACAGAGAAGTGCTGAAGCTGTAAGACTTCTGGTCGTCAGACTCCTAAACATTCTTGCTTCTAAATTTCTGCAAGAGCTTGATCCAGGAGAAAAATCAAGGGCAGACATCGGGGAGACCCTCTCTTCCTTGTAAAACTTATAAACAGTACTTGCCATTGTGGAAAGAGGAAAAGAGTTCATAACTGAAGTCTCATTACAACTTTATATCAAAAGAGTAGTGTGCATTGGTTTAATCCCCATATTCGTGCCTTAAGTAGAACACTGACTTTCACCTTTTTGGAAAATTAAACTTGGAGGTATTCTGAATGAAACCGTAACAGCAAGGGCACGTGACGAAGGCAGCCCGTGTTTGGATGCAGTGCTCAATCACCATGTCTGTTGCCACGCCACAGGCATGCAGTGCCACCTGGAAAACAAAATCAGACCTTAGCACCAAGTTCTTTCTTTCTAACAGTGCTATTTTTGTGCCTTTTAAAGATACTTTTGGTGAGAATCCTCAAGAGATTTCAAATTACCAGAATACAGCAGGTCCTTGGGTTATGTCAGAGATCTGTTCCTATGGAGCAATGTAGTGTGATTTTCACAGTAAATTGGAACCCACCTACATAAGCACCTACGCCACTCACATGGAGCACATACACAGCAGTAATGAAGTGAAACAGTAAAAGAAATTTAAAAGAAAGATAACAATTCCTGACCTTTACTTGTGGTAAATAAATGATAAAAAACATAAAGCACATATGTACATACGTCGAAATGATGGAACTTTTTTTTTTATATAAATAAACAGAGAGATGGTGACGTAACCACAAAATGACATACATCAAATTCGACGTAACCCAAAGACTGTCTATATTATTCAATAAATAAACAGAGATGGTGACGTAACCACAAAATGATATACATCAAGTTCGACGTAACCCAAAGACTGTCTATATTATTCCATAACTAGAAGCACAGTGCACGAAATTCATGCACGGGTACGGTCCCTAGGCCTGGCCTGCGATCAGAACCATCTTCCCTGGCTGCCTGCAGCTGGCCCTGCCCCCTGCCACCACCCACTCCCTGTTCGCCATTCACCATCAGGCGATTGGAGCCTGATGGCTAGGGGAAGGGACCAAGAGGTCGGCTGGTCCCGCCCCTGCCACAGGTTGCCCTCTGTATGTGGGGCGATTGGTGGGGCAGGGGCTTTGGCCTAGTGCCACCTATGTTCCCCCCCGCCCCCGGTTCCCCGTTCACCATCAGGTGATTGGAGCCTGCTGGCCGGGGAAAGAGACCAAGAGGTGGTCAGTGCACCTCATAGTGACTGGTTGAGTGGTCGTTCTGGTTGTTCCGCTGTGAGGGTCAATTTGCATATTACCCTTTTATTATATAGGGTAGAGGCCCGGTCTATGGGTGGGGGTTGGCCAGCCTTCCCTGATGCGGGCCCCGGAATGGGGTGGAAGTCCCCACTTGATGGCAGGGCCGGCTGGGGCGAGGGGCCACGGGCAGTTTGCAGGCCAGCCACACCCCTGATTGTGGTGGGGGTCCTCACTGGGGGTGGGGCCAGCCGGGGTGAGGGGCCACGGTCATCCTGGTTGTTCTGCCATTTTGATTGCTGGGCTTTTATTATATAGGTTAGTTCTCATTTGGACACACCAAAGAAGTAGCTAGCTATTCATATTAAGAAAATTAAGCAAGGTTGAAAAATTATAAATGGAATATTGCAAATGAAGAATAAGATTCATTCAGTAGAAAATCTGATGTGATGGGAAATATATTATGTATGCATGTCTACACTAGTATTCTTGCTTTTATGAATTCAGTTCAGTTGTAGCATTGTGATGAGAACACTAGACTGAAATAAGAATTTCTTCTAGGCTAGAACTTGAGTTGGCTGTATGATCCTGGGCCACTTAAAATTCAGTTTCTTAGGGCCTTAGTGTTCTCAACTAAAAACTAGGGTTAATATGACATGTCATAATACTGAGGCAAAAATTAATGAAAATATATTTGCACTTTTTCAAATGCTACATAAATATAATCAGTGCAGTGTAAAAACTTATTAAATCCTATTTTTATAGTACCTTTTCATATTCATATTATAACAATTCTTAACACTGAATGATGTATTACATAAACTACTTCAGATGTGTTTATTTAAAAAGAAACAAATAAAATTACAAATTAAAGTCATGATAGACTTCCAATAATTAAGAAAAGAAATTCTTAAAATTATTTTCAAAAAGATGGTTGTTAAGGCATGAGATTGCCATCTTCTCAGGATGTTGGCACCTGGATAAATTTTCCTTTCATCAAAAAAATGAAAATGATTTTCAGATGTTTTTGAAAACAAATTCCATATACATATTGTATATTAATATATATATATATTAATTACTAAATAAAGTAAGCAATTTTGAAAATTATTAGACTAAACAAAGCAAAATAGGCCTATATAAAAAAATCAGATGTAGGAATCTTAAAAGATAAGGCATTTTGTCAAAAAAATGCTCACATTTCCAATTCATTCTGGACAGAAGAAAATCGTATTGCGTTGTAATTGTTCTTTCTAGGGACCGATCTCTCAACTTCAGGGTAGGCCGGGGTGTTCAGGAGGAAGAGATGATTTTCTGGAAATTTCTGAATGTGAAATGTTATAAGCCAGATTCCCCTTTTGAACTGGAAGACCAAAAACAATGCTGTACTAGGAAGAGAGAAGCAAGAGCTCTGTTCTCAATCCTCGTCTTTAATTCTCTCCTCCTTCTAAGCCTCCCTCAACTACATAGGCGCCAACAATCCCTATGATTGCTGTCACCCACTTTTTCTGTTTCACTCTGACAGTAGAGCCCAGGAAGGCTGCTGTCCAGGGAAGGCAGCAACAACTCCAGGGTTATTGGGAGAGTAAAAACTTGATTCCTCATCTGCCCTTTTTATTTAATCAGCTTTCCAAAGCAAAATTAAGACTAGTTCTTATTTTCATGAGCAGCTGGAGAAAATCTAAGAGCAAAAATTGTAGATGCATTTTTTCCTGGAGGGAGAAAGAAGAGAACCAACACTAAGGGCCTATTATGTACTGGCTCTATGCTGAGCAACTGCACACAAATCTTTCTATGCTCACAACAGCCCTGGAAGATTTTATTATCTGCATGTTAAAAATGAGGAAACTAAGGCTGCGGGAAATTAAGGGTGCCCACAACAAAGCAGGGCAGGATCCTGACCCCATGCCTTAACTACGCAGGCTGCTTCCCCACAAAGCCCTCTTAAGGCTCTCACAGAAAAGTTTAGACAATTTACTTTTATATCTCTCTCTTTACTGTTGTTCTCACTTCCATTGCTACATGCAAAAGAGTTCATTCCCCTCATTTAAACAAAACAACTAAATCTAAGCAGTATTTATAGGATGGATTTCAGACTAAAAGTTTCTATTGCATCACATGCTTCTAATTTCCATTGTCACCAAATGCAGGTCAGAATAACAGGCAAATAATGATGAGATACTGATCAATGAAACCATGTAAACAGGGACAATTAGCAGGCAACAAGGTGGCATTTCCCCCCACTAGGGAAACGATGGGCTTTTCACTAAAGTGATGTTGGGTTAATTTGATAGCTATAGAAAATAAAACTAATACTTTTCTCTCATCACACATAATAAATTTCAAATAAATTAGATATTAAAACAAACAAACAAACAAACAAAAATGAGTGAATTCCTCCATAACTAAGAGGAGTGGGAAATACTTTCCTAACTATGTCTGAAAATCCACATGCAATAAGGGGGAAGGTTAATAAATATGACAGAGTGAAAAATTTTAAGAGCCATTTTAAATGGCAAAAAGCCCCTCAGAACTGTGTGTAAAAAGCCAAACAACAAAGTGAAAAGATTTGCATTTATAGCATAAACAAAGGGTTAATATTCCTAATGTATAACAAGCTTCCAGAATAAGAAAAAGCCCATAATCTGATGGTAAAATGAGTAAGAGCTTTGGACAGTTCACAAACAAAAATATACATATAGGTTTTAAAGCAAAATCACCTAATAATGCTCAATATAAGAGAAACAAGTATTTAAACTACTTTAAGGATACTACTTATCACCTATTAAAATAACAAAATTCATAAAAATTGATGCCACTCTATGGGCCAGCCTGTGGAGAAACAAAATTACATGCTTAATTTGTGATGTCACTTCCAAAAATTTGTTCAAGGGACACATTGGCAAAAATATAAAAAAGATTTATTCATTGAGGCAACATCTGAAAACAAAATAAAAACTAGCCAATTTCCCATGGATAGAGGACTGATGAATAAACACAATGAAGTATTCTGCAGCTCTAAAAAGAAATAAGCAATATATACATCACTATGGAAGATATTATTAAATGAAAAACAATTTTACAAAACTCTCAAACTATGCTTTTTTATAACTTTAATGGGTATATATTGGGATAAAACAAGAAATATGCTGATGTCATTAGGAAACAGATTTTCTTTTAGCTTAAGAAAGAAGAGATATATGTTAAATAAATGAGGCTAACTTCAAATCCTCTCATCCTGAATTTAAATTGGAAGTATCAGTATACTTGTTTAAAAAAACCACAGTATTGCCTAGCTCAGACCACTAAGAAGCCTAGAAACAAAGGCCAAACCAGTAGCAATGACCACTCTAGCACCTAGACTATGGTAATTTAAATATCATTTTCCTTTCAACGAATTTAGAGATCCACGGAGAAATAGCTGATGAGGCAGGAAATTCACAGATGAGCTGGAACAGCCTGTTATACTGAAAGCATGGATGCTGTCAATATTACTGAAGCCTTATCAAAAAGACTCAAGGACCACATCCAAGCGGCTCCCACTGAACAAAGATGGGAATATTTGAGCATCAGTGACAATAATAACTGCAATGTCTGACTGCTGTTTATCAGACTATCAGTCCCCAGAGGGAAAGTAGGGGAGGGTGGGGGTAAGGGGAAGAGATCAACCAAAGGACTTATAGGCATACATATAAACCAAACCAATGGACACGGACACCAGGGGAATGAGAGTATGAGTGTGTGTGTGTTGGGGGCGGGGGAGGATGGAGGTTAATGGGGGGATGAGGACACATTTGTAATACCTTAACCAATAAAGAAATTAAAAAATAATAATAACTGCAATGGACTGAAGTATTTCAAATACTAAATTGATGAATCAATAATCATACTGGAAAAAAATTAACATTACTTTTGGTTGATAACCAACTCACTTTGAAAACTGGAAAATATTAGAAAAGAAACAAGTTTCATCTGGCATTTCCTATGTGAACGACATCTCAGTGTAACCACATAGTTGCTAAAGAAAACTAAACGAAGGCAGAATGATAAAATTAGAACATCATCATTTCACAATTCTTACTGAAGTAAGGCAGCCAGATGTAAGTGC